ACGTGCGTGTACTCGCGTGTATGTGCGTGTATCTGCGTGTACGTGCGTGTACCCGCGTGTACGTGCGTGTATCTGCGTGTACGTGCGTGTACCTGCGTGTACGTGCGTGTATCTGCGTGTACGTGCGTGTACCTGCGTGTATGTGCGTGTATCTGCGTGTACGTGCGTGTACCTGCGTGTAGGTGCGTGTATCTGCGTGTACGTGCGTGTACCCGCGTGTACGTGCGTGTATCTGCGTGTACGTGCGTGTACCCGCGTGTACGTGCGTGTATCTGCGTGTACCTGCGTGCACGTGCGTGTACCCGCGTGTATGTGCGTGTACCCGCGTGCACGTGCGTGTATCTGCGTGTACGTGCGTGTACCCGCATGTACGTGCGTGTACTGCGTGAAATGCAGTTGATTGTAAAAACAAAAACAAAAATAAAATAGAAGAAACGTTTTTTTACAATCAACTGCATTTCACGCAGTACACGCAGATACACGCACATACACGCGGGTACACGCACGTACACGCAGATACACGCACGTACACGCAGATACACGCACGTACACGCAGATGCACGCACGTACACGCAGATACACGCACGTACACGCAGATACACGCACGTACACGCACGTGCACGCGGGTACACGCACGTACACGCAGATACACGCACGTACACGCGGGTACACGCACGTACACTTTAGTGGCAGCCCTCGGCCAACGCGTAAACTGATTTCACCTTACTAGTGAGTTTGAAAACGGTTATGATTTTTATTTTTATTTTTATTTTTATTTTTTTGAATTTTTTTGAATTTTTTTTTTTCGATTTTTATTTCGTTTTGATTTTGAATTTGTTTTTGATTTTGATTTTCATTTTGATTTTATTTTTTATTTTTATTTTTTATTTGCTTTTATTTATTTCAGAGGTAAAATTGTAGTGGCAGCCCTCGGCCACCATACATATGGTGAAGAGAAATATGCACGAAATTTTACATAAACGGCATAGAGTAGCTTTAGTATAAGCTTCATGTTAAACTATATTTAATTCCAACTCGTATTGCAATAACGATATAGAACGAAGAGGAATAAAACCGATGGCAAAAACAGTTAACGTTTAAAAATACACGTATACAGAAGAGATCTTAAACACGAGTAACATGATTCGGGACTTGAGGATTTTCTACAATTCATGATGAATACGACTCGTAAATGCCCCTTAATTAAATTTAATAGTGTTGCCAAATGTTATATCGTATGTTATGTATGTTATGTATGTTATGTCGTATATTTATCGATCTTGCAGCAAACGTATACAATGAATGCCATCGGCGATAATCTTCTTAGGTCGCAGTAAACATTGTAATAGCTGACATTGCATGAATCATGACTTTCACGGTTCGGCCATGAAGACGATCTTACGCCGTAGATTTATAGAGTCGTAAATCTGTTGTAGACTACCGGCTCTTGGTCGTGCGTCTTCATTCTAATGTCAGTCGATGTCTAAGTGTAGTACTAATAATGCAGGGTTGAGACAAAGTTCCAAGTCTCGGTGGTAACATTTCGTGAATGTTTCATTACGTTCAATCGGCAGCACTCTCGTAGTTTCCCAAATTACCAGGATTACAGGAAATGTACGACGGTGAAACCGAACACGACAGCGGCGCAGCAGCAACGTATCGCTGTTTATATGATAGTCATAATAATATACTCGTAGTAAGATTATGTACAACTACCATATAAGTTATATAACTAATAATATTGTATACATATATGTATATAATATATATATATATATATATATATATATATATATATATATATATATATATATATATATATATATATATATAAACAGTATCTACATAAATAGTAATATAACGTAGTAGGGTATAGGCTACTAGGCTATAAGCATTAGAAGTAAATGTGCTTACTGCGTACATCTTCCGCTACGAATGCCTATGTCCAAGATTCTAATTCAACGCTAAAATGTAATGCAGTAAAACGTGCTAATGTATCTTTAACAAATTTTTGAACTCATATCGACATTGTATATAAAGGCGATGATCAGATTCTCTTTCTTATCGTATGTCGTTATGACCGCGTGTTTTCCTTCTTCAGTGCCATTACTAGGACCACACAGAGATAAAGACGAGCCCAAGATGTGTCTCTCCGGTGCCGGCGTCGTGTGGGGAACATTCGCGATGTGCGTCATCATCGTCATCGTCGCTGTCGTCCTCTGCTGCGGGCGCGCTGGAGTTAAGCTACTCAACCCATTCAACCATGTGTGTTAGTCGCCATTTTACTGTAGGCATGTGTCTGTCGTGAGTGTAAATATGTATGTAAGCACTCTAAGTATAACATAGCATTTTCTGGTGTAAAAATAAGTAGCAAATATTTCTATTTCTGAGTGAAGTCATGTGATATATAACGTATTAAATGTAACATAACAAACAGGTTTCTATATCTGCCTATTATGTTACGCAATGTACGACTATGTTTTGCAGAATCTGTCTATTATGTTACTCACACATGTAGTATGTATAATACGAATAATCAAGACAATTTATTCGCCATAATGTACAGAAAATTATTTAAAACAAAACGTTTATTTTTTCTATTTATGTTTCGACAGTTGCCTGAAAAATAATTGATTATGTGGTGTACGAATTCAGCCACCTAGCAAATGTACTTGCTTAATTGCACACCACAGCACAGCCAGTACGAGACTATTAAAATACCCACGTTAAAATGTATGTTTACAAAATGGTTTATGTTGATGAGATATCGGACAGGTGACCAATAATTGATATTGATACAATATTGAATAGGTAACCGGTGATTGATATTGATGCGATATCGAACGTAATAAAATGCTAAAATTAGAAAACGGGTAGTCTGGAAAAATAAGTCACGTCAGCCTGTTATGTCGTTATGACTCGGGGTGGCACATCACGAGGCACAGTGTATCTCAAAGCAGGGTCAGAGTATTAACTATTTTTTTTATTTTCACGTGTCGACACACGTGACTGGCGGCTAGCAGACATCATAATTATGACGAATGCGTAGGAGGTTTCCAATCATTATTTAATATTTTTCAATTTAAGAACTATAATGTAAAATATTTTTGCCTAATATGTAATCTTACAGATTACGTACGTTCCGGAAACGTAAATATAACATTTTTAAATTTTAGAAAATTTATAAATACGAAATTTTGTCCGGTATACACATCATTTGGAGCTGTGTTTAATTCGCTACTCGTACGCCGAGCAGTTTCTTTCCGGACAATTGGACGTGTCTTTACTCGGCACGCATTTCTTGCAGCGTGAAAGACACGGTATACAGCTCATGAGAAGACCAGCCATAGTCAGAGATGCTCCGGCCAGTATAAAAGACGTATTGTAGTCCTTCGTGACGTCATACACAAAGCCTAGAACGAATGGATGACAAGAACACATGAAGTATCGCAAAAACAACCGATGTCAAAGTACCACCAGTTGAATTCGAACTGGCTTACCCGCGAAGTTAACTATTTCAGTGAAATTCTATCATCAACTTCCGTTAGTATTTTGAGTACAATACATGCACAAATGCAACCGCACACGCACACACCCGCACAAACACACGTGTCTGCTACTGCGTAAAGATTGCAAACGGAATATTGTTATATCAGACATGGGAATTGTGTCCGTAGTTGTGTGGAGGGAACCGAGTCCCTTCTAGTATGTGGTCTGTTAAATTTTTCAGTTTGGTTTTTCTTTTTTTTTACATTCTTTTTACAATCGCGTCAGATTGGAGTGTAGTAAAAATATGCCAGGCAAGCTGTCGCACGCTTAGCGCGCCATCTAGTGATGGAATTAACTTGTAAACGTCTAAGTGTATACACTAAGTCTAAGATGCCTTAGCACGCTCACGCGTTATTATTTTAACAGTTATATGCACCGACCATGCATTTCAAAGATTTGTTTACATAATATGTCAACATCAACATAGCAGGTGATTCTCGCATCGCACGAAATATCATCGACCGGCGCTCTTTCTTTGCACGATATGTTATGTTCACGTGTCGAGATAGGTTACCAGTCTAGAATTACACACATACACTACAATTTATGTCACGGAAACAGGTATACTTGTTTTGTGTGTGCCATTTCATTTTTCATTTTTCGCGAATCTGAGGAATGCAGGTGCAAGTTTGCTGTTCATTTGCAGTTTTATATCCCGTAACTGCACAAACACATTTTTTATGTTGGATCAATCAGTAATGTGTCTCCTAACAGATGAGACCTAATTTGTATACATGTATTAATTTTTAATTTATTTGAGAGATAATAATTTTAATATATGTAACTTTGTTTTCTAGGTTCGCTCACGCAATATGTGCGTCCAGCTCATTCCGGGGAATTTTACGTGATAGATATGTTGATCAGTTATAGGTTTGTGTTAGTATAATGGCATGAAATCAGGAATGGCGACGCCTTTTGGGCGCCGCCTGTCCGTCTGCCTGCTTGCCTATCTGTCTATCTGTGTGTGTGTGTGTGTGTGTGTGTGTGTGTGTGTGTGTGTCTGTCTGTCTGTCTGTCTGTCTGTCTGTCTGTCTGTCTGTCTGTCTGTCTGTCTGTCTGTCTGTATCTCTGTCTGTCTGTCAGGTTGCGTGGGTGGGGGATAACTGTTCAGTGGATGCTGTGGAAAATGTCCGGGGTTATGGGCATAGGGTAACTGTCCATGGTTGATTGTCCTCGGGGCATTTGTCATAGAACTGTTTAATGGAAAGAGACAACGGGTAAACATTATGTATCACAAGATATTCATGCAATCAGGCAGCCATCATTTTCAGTCCATGAAAATTACGTTTTGATGCGCATAATAAATCCCATCGTGTGTCGAATATTGATACACCCTATATTGCGTCTACTCCACATGCACGGGTTGCGATAAGGTCGAGTCTATACTTATGAACGTGTCCGTCTATATTTCACATTAATATGATAATCCCCATGAGAAACGACTAGACGACAGGCTCTATTTTTAAGGCCTTTGTATCACAGATTTATTTTATGATAAAATTGCAATCGTTGTGTGTGTGTGTGTGTGTGTGTGTGTGTGTGTGTGTGTGTGTGTGTGTATGTGTGTGTATATATATATATATGGTTATATTAAGATCGCATGTACCGTCATGTTACAATATGCGTAATGCGATCAATTCAAGAGGCTGCGCAAGGCCCTACGCCATTTTGAAATTGTGCAGTGTGGTTTTGCGCGCACACCCAGCCACTTGATCTTGCAATGTAAAATGATCAACTTCTAAAATTACCTTATATTTTATAACCATCCAAATCTGCGACCTGTATCAAAGCGATATTGTTTTGTTCAAAACCCAGCGGTTGTGCACGAAAGTGCTCGATTGGATCAACTAATCGTAAGTAGAAAAACCAGAAATGTAACCTGATACCTAAATTCTAAATCCTGCACAGTTGGTCTACTAGTTTCTGAGGGCTGATGCCAGGAAATACGCCTACTAGGCAAACTGATTGACACGCTAGGCGTTAGTGCGTGATATATAAGTATTCGCCATTAGTCCGCGTTGTTTGGTTGCTGTCGCTGATAAACGTGCGCTACGTATAGTATCACGCATGCTCCGTAAAAGAAAGATTTCGTTTAAATGGGCGCTGAGTGACGTGACGGCAAATTTTTTAGATCTTTCTTTGCTCTATTCGCTGTCGCTGTTTTCAATGTGATAAAATACTAGATGTAACTGATTTAAAGCATATTTCAATCCAGAGTATGTGATACAAAATAATTATAACTTAAAAACTATTATTTTAAAGACATAGAACAGCTTAAATTGGCCCAGATCGTGTGCATATGTGCGTATGTTGATGCGTGCTGGCGTGCGTAAACGTAAGTGTGCGTGGAATTTATGGATCCAGTGACAATGCATCGAACAAGTGTAATAGCACTCGTAGAGTTCACGCTGAAAAAAGATAATATTATAGCCTCCGTCTTTACAGCTTATACACTGATGCAGTCGATCTAGGTTGTATTTTGCTTTCTATGCGTACTATGCTCGATATATTTTGCACGAAAATATCTTCGAATATTTTTATCGTAAAGTAAAAACTTACCGGCAAGGGGAGGGCCAAATATTCCAGAGATCCCGCGAAATAAACCCAGCAGTCCAAACGCATTAGTTAGTTTTTCTAGTCCTAGTTCTTCCACTATGACGATGGACGTTAGACAAATGAAGCCCGCTATAAGGAAAAATAAAACGACAGTAAATAATAGGAAAATACGACCTGTCGTGCAGGCAATACTTATGCCATACAGGCTGAATGGTCCGTATACATTCTCGTTTTTTGTACTGATGCTACGTCTACTATAGCAATGATTACCTAGCGGGCTCATAACTTAGAAAAGAGAGCAGGTTATTCATCGAAATTTATTATTATTATTGTTATTATTATTATTATTATGTAATATATACAAAATTTTATTACCGACGGTGACTCCAAACGCGAAGCAGTAGATTGCCATGGCCGTGAAGCTTCCGTATAGTGGCACCATCATCGTAATGATGCCGCTCACAATTACACAGATATTGTTGATGAGTAACGGGTTTATCCCCGGCCTATCGCTCAACCAACCGACGAGCACGCGAGCCACCGTGTTAGCTATGCCTATTATCGACAGCAGTATGGGCCCGCGTTCCGCAGGTATTCCTATCTCGATTGCGTAGGCAACCGTGTAGACGAACGGCACGAAGAAGCCGATGAAGGCGAGGATGTTAGCGATGCAGATGAGCAAGAAGACGGGGTGCTTCATCAAAGACATGTCTAGCATCTCCTCGAGCACGCTGTACATCTCCGGCCCCACTAGCCGCTCGAACATGCCCACTTTCTGCTGCTCCTGCGCCGCGACGGGCGCCATCTTGGGGATGTGCGTGATGCTGGTGAGGTAGTCGCTCATGTCGTGTCGTCGCTTATACTGTGGCAGGTTGACGACGCTGCCGCTGAAGAAGATGTCTTGCCGGTAGAGCGGGCGCGTGTACTGCTGTGCTCTTGCGTCTCGGCTCGAGCTACGGTTCAGCACAGGCTGAACGCGATGCTGGCGCGCCGAATCGAGGCTTTTCACGCGGTCCCGGAGGTTGCTGTCGGTGGCGGTCGTCGTCGGCGGTTGCTCGTCGTCTCCCTCGTGGATCACGCCCATGCTACTGCTCAGCTCCCTGCTGGATGGTCGGCTCAGCGTATCGTCCGCTGTCGGAAACACCTGGAGAGCCTCGACTGGTGTCGCCCTGCCGTCGTGCGACAGCTGCGTGTCGCTACCGGTGGGCCTCTCCGCATCTCGACGGCTGGCTGCGGAATTGTTACGCGAGCGAAAGGCTGCGTCTGCGGGCGTGACGCTCGAAGGAGCGATTCTCGGTATGCCCTTCTCGAGCAGCGGCAGGTGTACCCGCAGATCTTCATAGCCATCGTGCACGGTAAACGCGCGCACGCGGATCTGCTTTTCCTCCCACATGCGCTGCATCAGCGACTTCTTGCGCGGAGTTACTTCCAGCGGCCGCATGAGGGCGCCACATATGATGCCGTGTAACACAATGGCGGCGACTATGAGCGTCGCGCCTTTCCAGTCGTATGCTGTTATCAGATATTTGGAGAGTGGCGCCATCACAAAAGTTCCTATTCCGGAGCCGCTAACACCGACACCGGTGGCTAGTGCTCGCTTCGTCTCGAAATAGTAGCCGACGCTGACGATTGCAGGCAAATACATGAACCCAAACCCTATACCTAAAAATAACATATTATAAAATACCATATAAATATACATACATAAATAAATAAATATATATATATATAAGTTAAGAATGTGCAAGGGTATTAAAAATAGAGGAATGATGGAATATATAAAATATATGAAGCAAATAACATCATGAACAAAATTTAAATATTAAATAACAAGTAGTGTAATAACATACAAGTAATATAACAGAATTTAATAAAATATTAGACAACGCGTATTTTGTAAATACACATAGTCAACAATACGAGGTAAAACTAACTAATACACTCAACGATTACCATAGCACGCAAAGATAAGACACGGTCCGTTAGAGAAGCACATTGGTTGTCATGATACCGAATAGAGATGTACACGAATTTATCTACTCCGCCATTGATACCACTAATTCCATCTGCTTTGAGGGAGTTACAGAAAACTATGTGCCACAAAGCTGTGGCACTGTTCCAAATTAAAGTTAAACGTGATGTGATTACTTTATAAAACCGGAGGCACGTATGAACGAAATAAGTAGCTACTACCTACTACCTACTAACTACCTACAGAAGTTGGTAATTTATATGTGTGACTACGCATGGTAATATTATTCCCTTATCTGTGCGTAGCAGCATTATTTTATGGTATAGAAGAATCAAAATAACTATGCATATACGAAGTTACTCACCTGCCATAACCCCGAAAGTGACAATAAGCATTTCTATGTTCGGTGAGAAGGTGCTTAGAATAAACGAAAGCGAGGCTAGAATGCTTCCAAATATGGTCACGGATCGACAGCCATACCTGTTCGCGAGTGCGCTCACAAGGGGACCTGTAAATGCCAAACTTTCATGACGCCCTTATATGATTTCTTGCAGTACTAATTATTCGCATTTCGATGACCAGTTATGGTAATTATGACCACGTTATAATAAGCGGTTGTATTATTTAGTAACAATATAATCGCATATAAAATAGTCACGAATAGGTTTGAGGCGTTTTCCACTCTTACCAATGCGCAATGAAACCTCAAATGTAATAACATCTTTATATTCCCGGTTCTGGCATACATGGGAGGTAACGTACAAGAGGAAAAATGCACGCAGTCTGTTACATGCATCCACGCGCACTTGAAAGCTCATGCATTTCAGCTCAATAGAAGCAATTGTAACAACAGCGATACAATGACGATGGCTATAGCAATAACGATGACGATGAAGATAACGATAACAATAATAATAATAATGATAATAATAACAAAAACAATACAATGACGATGACGATAACGATAGCAACAACGATGACGACGACGATAACAATAATATTAACAATAACAATAACAATCACAATAATTATAACAATAACAATCACAATAATTATAACAATAACAATCACAATAATTATAACAATAACGATAACACTAACGATTATGGTAACGATAACAGTAACAATAGCAGTAGCGATGATGATAATATTAACGATTATGATAACGATAACAATATAGGATATAGTGATATAGTGATAACAATAATGATAACAGTAATGATAACGATTATAGTAGCGATAAGGAGAAATATGTATAAACGACGACAATGTGTATATTTGCTCATACCTGCCGATAGGTAGCAGCCAGACAATAATGATCCAACCAGTGACGCCTTTGCAGCTGATTCGTTAAAATAGTCCATGAACTCAACCATCCACACACCGAAGCAAAAACACACGCCATCCACGATGAAGATGAGAAAAAATGAAGAAGCGACAATAACCCATCCCCATCCGCCGTCAGGGGGAGTTGGAATTAAGTCCTCGTCACATTCGGGTGTGTCAATTCTCGGGTCGTAATAGTCATCGTTTGCGCTCGCATCGCCTTTGTCTAGCATGGCCTCTTTTCGCTGGTGTGGCATTGCGATTACTGCAAAATAATACATTCACTTGTGAACATGACTGCTGTGTGTACTACTGTACTTTCTGCTCAGTCCACGAATTAGACAGACGTTTTCATTTACGCCAAAAAGTTGCAACAAAACACACCACCGCAATTTCTGTGTCACACCGACTAACGCAGCATATAAAATAATTTCAGGTGGGAGCAATATATACAACAAAATTGCAATTCCCGAGCGTCATCTGTGAACAGCTCTAACTCACGGTGAGTAAAGTAAAGAACCCTATATATTGTACAACAATATTTGTCATTCACGCGAACTAGAAGTATAACAAGAAACTGCATGTGTATACAATCGCATAAAAGAAACACATCGAGTTATATAGGTGTTTATATAGTATCAACATTCTTTTTTCAATTGGTTAAAAATATATGACTAATTGATCAATATGTCATATTATGCATGTTTGAAATTAGTCCAGGGCGTTTACTGCTTTCTTGGAAACAAGTCCTTTTATTTCTACACGCTGGGGGATTATACATAATTATAACGCATAGGAGCTAATTTAGAATACCGAAATCTGCAATCAATTTCCTGGCTGCAGCGAATGATTGTAAATCGAATGAAATCAAGAGAACTTAATGCTTCCGGATCGCTGTACGGTAAGCAGCTCCATTTATTAGGTTACCCTTATAAGGCGGCCTTACATTTGGTTATCCGAATCGCTTAGTCAAAGACGCTTAGGCTTTTTAAAAGGCATTGGTGATAGGAAGCAGTAGTTCTCTATTTCGTTGTCGGGCTTGCCATCGACATAAAAAATCACACATAGTCGTTCACTCGCCAGTAGTGCAGCCGCGGTTGGGCTCTTCATTAGAAGCTCGAAGGCCCGTAGCATTTTATGGCATATAAAGGAATGTCGAGCAAATATGAACGGGCTGAAACTTCTCTACCAAAATTATTCATGGTCCAGGAAAATCCATTGAGACTTTCATTCGTTACACGAACCAATGACCGATGATTTTGTTTACTTTTTGTCCACACGAAGAGGATTCCGGTATATCGTTAGGAAGAGCATTAGGAGAATTAACAGGTTAACAGGAAGTGTGTATTAACATGCTTAGCTAACGTAGTACATGGGCGGCTATTCGTTAGAGAGAGAGAGAGAGAGAGAGAGAGAAAGAAAGAGAGAGAGCTGGGGAGCTAGACCCCTGTGAAAAGACAACGCGTTTTGTAGTAGGTGATCGATTATTTAATATCTTTGCTTCCCAGAGGAGGTCGGCTACCGATGAGATTTATTAATTATTATACGATTCTTTATTATCGTTACGAGTGCCGTGGGCCAGTTTTAAACTTCGGTAACCGAATGAGAATTATTTCATTAATTACAGTAGCGATTAGGGAGGAGTATATATTAATAGAATATGCAAATAAAAACGACTAAACCGCGTGAGACACACGCGAGGAAGCCGCATGTATTTCTTCGATTTTTTTGTAAGTATAACTGATTATGAAACGGGTGATTGTCTGCAACAGTCGACGAAATTCCGTCCAATTCGTTCCAAAGGTCGTTTGTTGCTTACCTATATAATTAGAGTGCACAACTGTGGCGAAATACGGCACCTTTAGACCGTTCCCATCGCAGAGTTATGGCCAGACGCAGATTCAATATATTGGAAACAGACATATAGACGAAATCATGAGCCCATCATGCTTAGGTGTTATTAGCTTGGTTTTATTAGCTCTTGATGAAGTACCAAAGTTGATGAATTGCAAAGATATTAGGAGCGTGGCATTTTGTAATTTGCTTATCCTAATCTAAACTAACCTAACCTAACCTAACTTAACTTCACCTAACCTAAACTAACCAAACCCAATCTAACCTAACCTAATCTAACCTAACATAACATAACCTAATCTAGCCCAACTAACCTGAGGCTAACCTAACCTTAGACTAACCTGTATAAATAATATAATAATATAATATAATATAATATAATAATACTGGGCTAATCATAACTATAACTGTAAGCCTAAGTCTAACCCAAACCTTAACCAATATCCATGTCTTTTATTCATTCCGACGAACTTTCGTCGATGTTTTTTTGCAAAAGTGTTTGCAAGTAATTTTATGATATGCAAAGTAAAGTACGCTGCGAAACGAGCTTCAATTAACATTTGGTATAGAAGTCAGAAACCAGATATAGAAGAACCGCGATGTTTATATAATCAGCAGGAATCTTGGTGAAATGACGAGATTTCTCTCTAATTTTAGCAATGGCAATGTCTTGCCGAATCGCAGAAGACAATTTAGCGTCTTAGAGAAGATTAAGCGTAAACGGGATACATATAGCAGCCGCGTACTGAGCGCAATGACCGCGATACGTTGTTCGCAATACATCCTACTAGGCGATAAATCAGTACGCGTCCACCACACACACACACACACGTGCGCACACACATGTGTTTGCGTTTGTGTGTGTGTGTGTGTGTGTGTGTGTGTGTGTGTGTGTGTGTGTGTGTGTGTGTGTGTGTGTGTGTGTGTGTGTGTGTGTGTGTGTGTGTGTGTGTGTGTGTGTGTGTGTGTGTGTGTGTTCGCGTGTGCGTGTGCGTGTGTGTGTGTTTGTGTGTGTGTGTGTCTGTGTGTCTGTGTGTGTCTGTGTGTGTGTGTGTGTGTGTGTGTGTGTGTGTTTGGTGCGCTCTTTCGCGCGTGCGAGTATACGTGCGTTGGCGTGTGTGCATTCGTGCACCCGTCGTGCTATTATAAAGCAATCTTACCTCCGCGTTATCTAAATTCGTTGTGTAACTTTAGATATGACGTACTCCGCTTGCCTGCGAACAAAAATGCCATAATAAAAAAATAACACTGCAGGCTGCCATAAATAGCCTCGTTCACACGAGACCTCATATTTAGGAAATACGGTATTTGCGAAATACCGAATCTGAGACAAATACCGCGCCGAGCGTTCACACGCTGATTCGCGGCTCCAGAAATACGGTATTTGCGAGCTGCGAGTAACCAGGGGCCCGTTGGCGTTGTCAGAAACTTCGTAAAGTTACGATTAATTTTAAGACTAATGTTAATGTTAAGAGAAAAGTTAATAGCGGTTGACAGAAACCTATCGTAACTAAACTTTACTTAAGTGAAAACTCACGTAACAGGAACTTCATAATTCATGTCACAAGGCTGCTGATTGGATGAGAATCGATCACAAAATTCAAATTCATACACATATATTTACATCACAGTAATTTATGCATATTATGATGGCCACCACATACAAATAATATTTGATGAAAAATTACGGGTCATGAATTTATTCTGCACAACAAGACAAATTCTCACACTGTAACGCGAAGACGCAGAGATCGTGGAAAGACGGTGAGAAACCTTTAAAACAATGAGAACAAATGCATACGCCATTTGTAAATGTATTGTTTTGTTTTATTAGCGGTAAGATAATAATGATTTTGACGTGTTTTTCAAGAAAAACACACATTTATTCATATTATAAATATAATATCACTATAATTGTATTCGTAGTGTAAATGTGTTATTTCAACTTAATATTAAAAGTTAAGGGGGAGTCTAGGATCTTTAAGTTAAGAGAAAAGTTACGAGAATTTTAATTCTTTTAACTTTACGAAGTTTCTGTCAACGCTCTAATGAGAAAAAGTTAATGTTAAGGTTAATGTTATTGACTAATTGTTTCTGACAACGGGCCCCTGTATAAATGCCAGTCGTCATGTTTACGCTTGACTGCGTTCGCGTACACTGACGCCTGTAAGCGAAGGCAGCCTAAACAGTTCGCAAACCTCGTTATCGAATAACGCGAACGAGGCTAAGCAGGCCTAGACTGGTACCCGTTCGCACCTTCACACATAGGCCTTGGTGTAGCGTGCTGGAACTGCGACCGGGTACTAGTCTAAAGCAGACGCAAATCCGCACCAGGCACATATTTATTATGGTGGTAATCTAGTTAATGGCTTTATCAGAGGCATGCACTTTTTACAGTTATAAATTATATTATTTTATAACTATTATAAACTAATATAATCTATTATAAAACTATTATAAATATAGTTATTGCAGTTGAAATGTTGACGGAAATGACCGTCAAGCAAAGGACTGCTCGCTGAATTGGGCCGTTCTGATTCTCGGCAGCAGCGCACCACTTTCATATAGTAAGAGTGTTAACGCTCTGGTGAGTAAGCCCTAGCGGCGATTACGAGCAGAGCGTAATCATTAACGTTAAGCTGGCGAGCTGCTTTAAACAATACAAAGCGAACAATGCGAAATAAACAATGCAATGCGCACCAACTGCCGATAAAACGTAGACTGTCCGCGCTCGACAGTTCACTCGCGTTACACTGGAACTGTCGAGCGCGGACCAGTCTATAAAATTACGCGGCTTCAGAAATCGTATTAGGCGTTCACACACGAGAAAATGCGCGGTCCAAGAGATCCGGTATTTCTCAAGCACGGAAAATTATTCGGGGTCTGGGAAGCCGCGTATTTACATCAAATACCGGATCTGTTTAGATACCGTATTTCTTTGACCGCGCATTTTGCCTCGTGTGAACGCTAAATACCGGATTTCTTGCTACGTGTGAACGCGGCTATAGTGCCGCCCGAAGATTGCTGCATACCAGATAAGTGTGTTATAATTATTATCCATAGGGTTCCGTCTTTACGCATCTGTCACTCTGAGGGGAAATAATGGGTTGCAAAACTTTAAAACCCTATAGAATTGTTTTGTGCGCATTGTGCGTGTGTAAACCGACATAGATAGTGATATTTATTATAACATATTATAGCAACGGGTCTTTTAATCATTCTCCACAGCGCGAATTACATTGAATATCCGAATATCCGAATGACCGCCGGAATATCTGATGACTATGCTTTATTCATGAATCAATATATATCATTTCATCTTAATTTTTTATGTCAAAATAGAATTATGAAGTATATGCTATCAAGAGCGTATAAAGAAGGAGAGCGTACAACGGTGAAATGGTGAAACCCTGTTGCAGTATTAGTCGAATTAATAAACTTTGCCTGTTTTATTTTGACGATTCTTTGCGGTATTATTGATCAGCTATCCTACCTTGTTAATATAAAACAAACCGCTTGTCCCTACGATGCTCCTACGCTGAAAATCTGGTATTTTCGCCGAAAACCGACTCGAGATCAGTGTTTACTGCGACGGTCTCTCGCTTTGTGGCCAGTGTATTGCTTCCGGTCGCCGCTGTGTAGCACCATGGTAGCGCTGACTCACGTCAGTACTACCAGAGCATAATAAATCACTGAAATCGGTGATTTATATGCTCTGGTACTGCAGAGATTACTATACATCCAGCGTGAGATGGGCACAGGTGGAGGTCATCACTATGGCGATCAATAACAGACGTCATTCATTCCATTTGTCAATCATTGACGGAAACACGCGAGGTTTCCCGAAGTTATCTCAAAGCGAGAGACAGTCGCAGTAAACACTGATCTCGAGTCGGTTTTCGGCGAAAATACAATATTTTCACCGCTCATTATCTCAGCATAGGGGCATCGTAGGGACATGCGGTTTGTTTTATGTTACCAAGGTAGGACAGCTGATCAATACGTAGGACACTCTTTATTATACGCTCTTGATACTATCTATAACAACTGTCTTCGTTAGTTCAACCGTATCATCGATGTATTCAGAGACTTCCTGTGAATGTTTTAATTCAGGAGAATATGACGAGTATACTATATGCCTACAGGGTGTCCGTTAGTTCAGTGTATAATTACACTGCGTTTATAGAGCACCATTGCTGAAGGGTGCGTTGAGTGTGCAATAGACCACGACCTTTTGTCCTAAGTTAGATGAGTGAAGGGGATCCACGTCACACGCGTATCAACTCCAGCAGAGCAGAGTAAAATAAAACAAACAAGAGCCGCGCGTACGCAGCTGATATGAATGCGGGTTTCGCAATCAGGCCGATCAGAATTTCTTATACGAGTTTAGAACTCGTCAAACTTGAAAGAATGCTGGCCGACTGCGTGAATAATTGCACTTGGCTTTCTACAAGGTCATGCACCTGTTCGTAGTTGGAGCATTTATATTAGCTCCGCAGCATGGCAACGAGGTTCCGTGATGTCATCACACGTGTCGCTGAGGTGATCTGGTGTCTGCGTGCGTGGATGCGCTTGGCTCAACGAGCAACGGTGTGCCCGCCTTTTTCGCAAACAATTCCGCCGAAAAGCGATTTAATCTCAGAGTTACCCGTGCGCTGGTAGGTGTAAACCACATCTCAGCATTAGCACGAGTTATATAGATATGATCAACGTATCCTTAATAGCATATCTTGCTGGTGCATGCGGTCACCGAATCGAACATACACGCATTCCAATGAGCATGGCATAGTTTAGCCACGTCCGAGATCAATAGGGCCATAAATTTGCATCAGTAGCCACAATAAATTTTGCGTATTTTTCGTGCACCTGGGCAATAGCTCACTCGCATGACATAAGTTCACGAACATTGTCTCCGTGCGGTATTTCGCAGGTACATCGTTCGTCGATATTTGCGATGATATATGCTTCGCTTGATCTCGCGGACATATCAGCTGATGTTAGTTTACTTGCACTAAGCCAACTGACGTGTTTATTGGTGGTAGCGTGTACGCGGGCCGAGTTACAGGAATAATAATTTATGCCTGGTGTTGCTGGTTGGGTAAATTGGAGTGACAGCTGAGGCTGTGTTGAGACTCAAACTTGCAGGATCGAGCTACTATATCTATATCAACCAGCCGCAAACTAATTTGTCGACTAGGTTGTTAGTGATATCACGGTTTGAAGTAGCGACAATTTCTCTAGTGATGCAGTAGAAGCGTATCGTTATAAATATGACAATATATCCCCCAAAAATCCATAGCGTTGCATTTATATATGGCACTAAACAGTACTTTTTACTTATATACTAACCGAATGCCTACAACTGTCCGTCACACGTGATGCGTACGAGAGACGTCCATTGCGAAATTTGATGCACACGTCTACCTCGCTGCTTCGTCGCTGCTCTTCCACGTTAGAATGGCTTTCCCTCCACTGCAGCCTGTCCTTCACCGATTCTCACCCACTGACGCAACTGGACAGAAATCGTTTACCTCTCTCGGCGCGTGTAATGCACAGAGCTCCCCGGCGGTGCTTGTCACATAGGTTTACGTGCGGTAGTGCGATAGTACATGGCGCGACGGTGGCGCACGAGCCTTGGACCCTATTAGCGTTACACATGGTCAAACAAAACTATCTTATCTAGCTGAGACGTTATCTATACAGCCGAGGTTCCCGATGTATGCTTGAATTTACGTGTCAATTGACGGTATTTAGATTTTTTTTAACTTGTCTTCGGCACCGACGTACGCATGCTGGACTTCAATTATACCTAGACCCTACTATTAGGTTCATGCTTTTCCTTCAGATAAATATTTTTTATTAAATCATTTACGATATAGAGATAGTAAAAATAAATCGACGATCCATAGTTCTAGCATGTTGGATTTTGTTGTTTGTCTGGCTGTAATGTTATATTGTTGAGGGTTTTCCGTGGAGAGGAGCGGCACCACGGAGAATAGTGGAGTGACTAATGGGTGCCACTTTGCGGGTGTTTTTCGAATACTGTGATCAATCTGCGTATTGACGTACAGTATTGTAGGGAGAAAATAAATATAGATATGTAGATATTTTGTTCTGGGAGATTCATAAGCGTGGGTACTCAATGTATCTTTATATTTACGTATATAGTACTAGTAAATAACGATCGGGTTGATGATAACGATAACGTTCTACTTAACAAAACGACAGTATATTGAAGTATCGTATATTAATAATTCTTTAATATCGTAGCATGAATATATTCATACGCCGTGTCATGCATACATACTACGTTAAATTCTAATCGATATTAACCGATGTCTATACATACTTCTTTTTTTTATCAAATACGCAGGAAGTTTTTTTTATCAAATAACGCAGTTTTTTTTTATCAAACACTCTATTTTATCAAATACTGGTAGAGGGTCAGAGAATAGCAACTGTTTGTCGGTTGCAACTACGAATGTTATCTGCATATTATACAGTGTATATATATATATAATTACATCGTATGGCAAACTGACTTATGCAAGCCTGAGTGAGTATAACATGTATCCGATAATTATTTAATGTATTCCGTTTTATTATGCTTAAACATGCTAGAATGTGCTTTCTATGAGCGCTTGTATCAAGTAAAACGCAATAATTCTGCCATAATCCATATTTTAGTCATCAAGCGTGAGCGCTCGGAAGTTTACCAGTCCTAAACGCTTAAGCATCGGGAGAATACTTCATCATCGGAAAACTATATATATATATATATATATATATATATATATATATATATATCGCTATCATGCATGCGTTTCGTTCGCTAAACATATATGACTACTAATGAATATAAACAACCGTGGTAGACGTAGGTATATACTTGAATGAAAACGACTCTCATTATCATTAAGATCATGGTCATCGTCATTATCATCACCCCCACCACCACAAAGAGCCGTCGTCAATACAGAAGTTGACACGACCATAATTCTCCCCTGATCTCGATCTTTACACTTGCTCTTCATCTCACCTTAGTTCCTGCAGACTCTGGCCCAATCACGAATGCAAAGCAAATATACACACGAATTACGCAATGACGGACGATATATGAGCTATCATCGGGGTTATGATTTGTACAGGACATGTAGAAACTGTGATAGTTGCTGATCAATTGGCATCGTCGTGTCGTACAGCGACGGTGCCTGGAAGATGATGCCGCAAGTTCCCGTCAGACAAGCAATGGTGAAAATCCACAGGAACAGTCTATCTAGCACCATGGCAACGTATTTCCAGTCCTCTACTATCTGCAACAAATACACGAAGGAACACGTAAGTTGTCAGACTCAGTACACCGTAGTAATGGCGATTAGAGCGACTCAGACCTCAGTAGAAATAAGCTCGTGTAAGAAACGTCGGTGACTGCTAGAATCGGTGTTTCTGGCTTCATGTATTAAAGTAATTCAAATGAAAGAAATAAGTGTATTAACATCGCTTATGTCAAATAGAGGAGCATTATGCGACACTATATCGCGACCACATATATATATATCAACTATATTTATGATTCAGCGTATGGTCAGTCATGTTGATCACGAATTCTAGTTCTTTCGGTTCGCTTCTCTGCTGAGAATAAAAGGCCGCCAAACTGATTTACCGCCTCTTTCACCTAATCGAGCAGAATATCCGGCAGAACTACAGAAAATCGTATAGGGTAAATCGAACAAGTAACTTTTACAGCTGTCCTGCTTTAGTATCTTCTGCTAATTTGCAAATTGGCTAAAAGACCATGCATGGATGCCAGGACACCACATCAATGATCAAACAACACAGCTATCGTTGTCATAACTGCTATATAATAAGTTCTTCGTCCATTCGCGGTTCTCTCTACTTACATTTAACCAAGGCATGCAACTAAGCATTTATAGTGATTACCTATCGATATCTTGCGGATTTCGGGAGGTAAATGTTTGATATAGGTTCGTTGTACATGCGTATTTCGCAAACAATCAAACGCGACTATGTACAAAAAGGCGTAACGTAATTCGTATTTAATCATTTTTTCTAGTATATGCGACTTTATACTTATAGCTTTATCTTACATTATTTGCATTAGCAACGCACTCGCTATCATCGCCACCTAGCGGGGATTTATCGATAGGATGAGCGTGCAGATATTGCACTCAGTCCATTCGCTGTGGGCCACCGTTGGGCTGGACGTACAAGTTGCCTGAAACTAACAGCTAGCGGGGTGTTGATTGATGCAAATGAATGTATAGTGCGCACTCTCTGCTCTATAAGATGTGTGATATATAACATACACATACACACACGCACCCACGCACGCACGCACGCACGCACGCACACACGCCCACACACACTATATATATATATATATATATATATATGGAACCTATCATTCTAACTATACGAGCATGTCCGTGGATCCTGGTGCATTGTGCTGCACACAAATGTGTAGTGAAGATAAAACATGTGCAGTTGTCTACTGTCCTAGTCCTTACAAGTCGCCAGTTAACATATTGCTTAAATAGTCAATATATTGTGAACATAATACTGCATAAATAGTTACCATATAATGATAATATGAACATGTTGCGCAACTAATCACCAGTGAACATCTTACACAAGTAGTCACAATATAGTGAACATATTGAACAGCTAGTCTCTAATGTAAATATTGCGCAACTACACAGTAGCGTAGATATTATAGTCGAGAACGCTGAGACTGAATGTACACCGAACATGTAATTGAGGCTAAGCCGGTGCTGCCCCCTATAATTACTATCCCAGAATGGTATGCCGGCGATGTACGCAGCAAACGTGCGTGCGTACATGGGGGCGTGTATGTGTGCGCGCATGTGCGCGCGCGAGTGGTCGTTTATGTATGTGTGCGCTCTTTTGGGCGTACGAGTGGGCGTGTGTGTACGTGAACGTGCTCGTACGCGTGTATGCGTGTGTGAGCGTTCGTTTGTGCGTATGCATGTGCATACGGGACTGCGTGCATATGTGTGTTCGGGCAATTGCTTTTGTGTATGTGTGTGTGCATGCGTATGCGTATGTGTATATGTGTGTGTGCGTGCGTTCCATCGTTCGTTCATGCGTGTGTGCTGTGTGCGTGCGTTCCTTCGTTTGTGCGTGCGTGCGTGTGTGCGTGCGTGCGTGCGCGTGTACGGTGGCCCATATGAACAAAACACAAGCACGCAAGCACGCATGTACGCATGTACGCAAACACAAGTACGCAAGCACACAGCAAGTTGCAAAACGGAAATTGGTGGCAGCACTAGCGCCCCCCCCCCACTATCGAGATTTCATTTTGCAACCCCTTCTCCCCTCCCCACCACCAATTTCTGTTTTGCACCTTGCCGTGTGCTTGCGTACATGTGTTCGCGTGCATGCCAACTTGCTGTGTGCTTGCGTACATGCGTATTACACTCACCCCGTTGTCCTCGTCGGCTCGATGCAGCTGTTCGGCTATGTACTGCACCTCGGCCATCGCGCGTTTAAGTTCGTGCGACGTGGCCGCGTATCCGCTATAACTTCCGTTGTCGTCGCTGTCGCCGTCGCTGTAGACGCAGAACACGTGATGTCGTTGCGCCGCGTCGACGCGCGTCTCGTGCAGCGAGCTGCACGGGCTGCTAGCGACGGCAGGCGTCTTGTCCTTGACGAACTGCGGCCGCCGCATGAGCAGCATCCGCGGCAGCACGTGCAAGAAGATGCGGCGCACGCGCGGCGACATGACGTGCGTCGCTGGCGTGCGGTAGTGCACGTTCAGCACGTACACGGTCATGAGCACGGACAGTGAGACGAGGATGAGCACGAAGAGCAGGTACTTGCCGATGAGCGGCATGACGAGCGACGTCGGCGGTATGATGTCGGAGACGAACATGAAGAGCACGGTGACGAGGATCGAGATGCAGAGCGTGATCTTCTCGCCGCAGTCCGACGGTAGGTAGAATACGAGGACGGTGAGACCCGATATCGACACGCACGGAATGATCAGGTTGACGGTGTGGTAGAGCGTCTTGCGTCGCATCTGAATCTCGTAGGTGATGTCCGGGCAGGTGGTGAGCCGGCAGCGGCGCTCGTTGCGCGTCGCCGGCACGCCGAGCACGTCCCACTCCGTGTTCGGATAGAACTCGCTGAGGTCAACACCGATCTCCTTCACGGAGGTGTTCTCGGCCTCGTAGTGGACAACGTCCACCTTGAGTCCGTTGTAGGTCCACGAGCCAAACCGCATGCGACACGACTGGTGGTCGAACGGGAAGTAGCGTACGTCCAGCGTGCACGAGGATTTGAAGACGGAGGGCGGCTCCCAAATGACGAGACCGTCTGGATGAAGAGTAGCTTTTGTCATCACCGTTACCTGGTAGCGACCGTCAGCGCTGCGCAAACACGAATCCACACTTACATACTGATTCGTATAAACGCCAAACTGTGCTTATATTATGCATCGGGTAAATGAGCAACTATGGTTACATAGTAAATCGTACAAACACTAAGCTATACTTATATGCTGAATCGCATAAACACGAAACTATGCTTATGTAGGGAGCATAGAACTCGCGGGTTCACGGAAAAAAACATTTCTGGTAAATAACAGAGCGAGCAAAAACCTAGCTTAAAAAATAAACAAGGCAGTCATTCTTTTTGCATAAGGTTATACATGTGTCCTACTTGTTGAATAGTACGATGTCAGGCAGCCATATATCGCCTGAAGGCACATAGAGGTTGTCCACACCTCCATATTCGTGCGTGTGCCATGACAACCTGTAGTCGTACCATTCCTGTAATATTATAACAATAATTAATAGAATGTCGATTACGTGGGTGGTTTGTGCGAAGTGAGACATCCATGGTTAAAACGGCGTAAAAACAAGTTTTTGTGTTCTCAAGTGCTATCTACAGTCAACGTGTGAATATGTATATAGTTACGAATATGAGTTTTTTCTTAGCCAATATAATTGTATTTCATAAAATGATACGCAGTAACGTATTTAGCGTTGCGTCACAGGGGACATCCACGTATAAATATGCGCTCACAGACATGCAGTCATAAAAACGCTCCCTCTGCTTATTTTGATCTTAATTTCGTTTTGTATATGAGCGGATCATGAACACAAACATTCTGTTGAAATGTTTTAACGAGAGAACGAGTAAGCTCAATGCTTGTAGATGTAATTTTATCACTCGTGAATAGCTGTTAGAACAACATTCTTTTTAACGCACGCGCGAAAACTAAATATTTTATAACGAAAATAACTGACCTGTCGTAACCATACGTTCGTGGTCATTACCTGATGTTTTTCGTCCTAAAAAATAAATGTTGAGAAGACAAGATATATCGTAAAATTCCGTAATGTAGGGCGTTGCCAATACGGCAACACGCAGATACGTGGAACGCTTTCAACAGAAAAATGCTACTCTACCTTTTTACTATATGCACAAAGGCGGTGCCTGGGTAGGCCTACGTTCTGATCTCCTCCTAAACAACAAAGCCAATTACAATTACGCGTTGCACGGACACTGCAAAGATACTTTTATTGACGACGAGATATTTTGCAGAAACACGATAAAACCGAATTCGATAATCTGCTACGAGATTTCGGCTGGCCAAGCGGGTCACACCGCGGTTTGTTGCCGTAGTGACAACATGGTCCGGACGGGCGAGGCACTATATACATGAAGAGAAACAGAAGGACAAACTTCGTCTGGCTACTCCATAAAATGTTCTGTCCTAAAATTATAGCTTAAAATATCTTCATATCCTTTTTTTGCACACTATCATGCAGCATTCTACAATGCAGTGAAGCTACGTTACAGCGAGGCTTTTTTATTTTTACGTTTTCCATTATATATATTAAACGCACTTCTATTCGCTGGTTTAACAATTACGCTTTTTATTGCACTACGATTTCATGCTAACCTAATTTCATGCTATTTCATGATATTGATAGCCTTACCTATGTTAGTTATGTTACGTTAAGTTACCATATGTTGTGTATGTTCATCCTGTTTACACATTTTTCTTGACTGAACATTGTATGATATTATTTCTTTTATTATACGCTAATTTGATTCTATGCTAATTATGTTCGCTTATAAAAACTCGCTTGCTCTTGTAATTTTACTGTATAGGGCTTGAACTATGTTGTGGCATCTATGCATGTTGCAGGCTATACGCCAGCCTAAACACGCACTTAATTAGTATAATCTTATTTTCGTCCACCCAACTAATATATTCTTCACCCTGCCATATTCCCAATATATATATCTGCACACCTTCACTGATTATTACGTTATCCTGCTTAATAATTATGAAAGCCTCAGTTACGTTACGTATCCTTACGATACTATGTGTTTCATTATGTTAACCCTTGCACTCTACACATTCCTCATGTCATGTCATTACACATTCTGAACTTATGACATATACACAGTCTTCATGATAAATTCTGATGAATTGTCTTCATTATACTACTCGTTCATGTTATGATAATTATACTCTCCTATAACAAAATATTTCCCTACCACTGTTTTCATCGAAGTAGAAGTTATAATTTTCATCTACCCCATAAAATGCCTCTCAGCTTACGATATTCTCATAACATTCTTTCCTTGGAACACTCTCATAACGTTAAAGTACGTTAGAATGTCGTGCTAATTCGTAATATCGGCAGGTGTGTAACGATTATTATACGTTTCGTCTCTTTACATAACGTTCTGATTTGTTATGTTAAACCATGCAATATACCGATTTTTTTTCAATTAACAGGTTACAATTACCGTTTTCATTTCAATAGTCTTTCTCACTATGCTTACTTATGTTCTCTCTCATTTTAAAACTTATTATGTTCTACTACTGCATTATTGGTTATAATTTCTTATTCCCTATTTCAGTCGTGAAAGCAACCGAGGCCACGCCGGATCCCCCTACTTGCACATACAAACAAACAGACAAACACACACACACACGCACGCACGCACGCAACATTACACCACCAATGATTGGCGAAGATCTAGAAGATGATTGAAGCAATGACAACTAGTAACTCCTGATTCATACATGTAGCATTGTCGTACCTTTAAAAAAAAATATCCATTTTCAACTTATAAATTGAATTTTATATTGAATTACATCTTCTACATTATTTCTCTTAAGTGTTTTGGAGGATGGTAAAGAGTGTTCCAATCATAAATACGTTGTTATTATTGGAATCCTCATATGCCAACTGAAAACATATGATTAGACACCAAAAAAATCTTCCAATGTCCATTGGTACAAACGTATGACATTTTACGTAGAAAAAGCCTGAAATATGGTGGCCATCTTAGATTTTTGCTATTTTGGAGTATATTGAGTGCTCTAATTTTGTTTCCAATGAATCTTTGATCCCTTTATATGAGTTTAAATAAAATAGAATAAATATTGTATGACATTTGAATGAATAGTTATGGTTAATTGGCAATTATTAAAAAAAAAGAAGATTTTCCGTGATGGCCATTTTGAAATTCAAAATGGCGGCCCTAAATATTAATGGAAAAACTGGCACCCATTTTTTTCTTAATCAGTGAAGTTTCTAGATGTGTTTAGACATGAGTGCCAAGAATCTACCCAAAAAAATGACAAATCTGGAAAATATTACATAAGCCCATAGACTATTGGATTTAGTCTGTGACATTGCGCATGTGCGTTTCTGCAGAGTCAAAAATACCCAGCGAGTGGCGAATTGCCAGCTTGGCGAGCGAATCGCTAACCTTAGATTCGTTAGATTGTTTCGATTTTTGTAGACATGTTATATTAGATAATCAATTGTAATTCCATGATCCAACAACTTATGTCTTATTATACAGGATTTATTCATTACACAATTGTCAAATCGTGTTAAAGGTATGCCATCTATATGCTACTTGTGTAATTAATACATAATTATATGCTGTTTTCTGCATTGGCGGTGGTGTGGTTATATGCAAAACTCAAAGTCCATGTATGGTTTTTCAAAATTTAAGTTGGTTAAAATTTAAGTTTAGGCATACTTCTAGCTTACTGAGATCATTTCGCCAATTTTTAACACCGCTGACACAGAGTATTATTAACACTATTAGTTGAAAGGTTTTGAATTTAAACGCACGATTCCTGATATGAGTCAATGAATGGATCAAAGTCTATCAATGAAACAATTAGAGTATTAATTTTATGGAGCCCACACAGAAAACCAATCTCCATCGCCTCTTCTCGCTTTCTCTTTCTTTCTTTCTCGCTTTCTCCCGCTCTCTCTTTCTATTTATTTCTCTTTTTCTCTTTCTCCCGCTCTCTTTCGCTCTAGCTGCCTCTCTCTCTCGCTCTTTCTCTCTCACTCTCTTTCTCTTTCTTCTTCGTTTTCTCTCTCATCTTTCTCATTCCCTATCTTGTTCATTGCTTTCTCCTACGATATGCGGTGGTCTGTGTGAGTGCGTGTGTATATATATTCGGGTCTCATTATTACACGATTGGAATGCGTAATTTTTTTCCCTCTCGTCAATGTTTCGCGCTAACAACTACAAACAGTTAGGCAGGGCTTCTGGGAATGTTTGACAGCTGCTGGAGATGTATACATATGCGTACACACCCACGCGTGCACGAACGCGCACGCGCGCACCCACTCACACGCACACACACGCACGCGCACTCACAGACACACATGCACACACACACACACGTACACACTTGCGAAGCTCGCAATCATAAGCGATATTCGTTCCGCTGTGCGCATGCGCTGACTGCTTCGACCTTCTCCGCTAGCCTCTATCGCCACGTAGCAACAACACTCTTACGATAACATTAACCAGAACGCTGCTGCCCTGCGGCGATAAGAGATGCGTGTCTGTCTGTCTGTCTGTCCCGCGTGCACGGTAACAGCGACCTCTGCTGACACCGAAGCGGTCAACGTGACAGCGTCTGCGGCATGTGGCAAGCGGCACTCGCTGCTGCTCATATCGTAGCGAGCGTGTCTACGGCAGCAGTATTGACGTTAGACGACCTTAACGTAAAACGCGTGGGCCGCTTTTTTAGTCGGGGCGTTTGTGTTTACAGTGCCCAAATATTTGCAAAACTATGAACGGGACGAGGGAGTGAAGTTGTGGCGATGAAGCAAATCATTCATTACGTGCGTGCGTGTGTGCGTGCCTACGTGCGTGTGTTTGCGTGTGCGTGTGCGGTTATGTGTGTGCTTGCGTGCCAGTGTGCGTGCGCGCGCGCGTGTGTGCGTGCGTGCGTGCGTGCGTGCGTGCGTGCGTATTTATAAAGTAAACGTTTCGGCTACTTCATTCATGCGATATACGTTTATGAGTTAACGCGAGCAGCGAGATAACCGTGTTTGGTGGGGACAATCACAGCTCAGATGCTGGCGATGAAATCTTGCGAGGTGTTGCCACTATGAGACTGTTTTACATGTCACTGATGTAAACAAACATTTGTTCACACTATCCCCTTCCTATAATACATACAAAATACTATGAAAGGTGTTCAGTGGTTTGTTATAAAAGGTAAGATATATTGTAATATTGTAATGTAACAGCTCTGTATATATATAATATATATATTAATTCGAAATATAATGAGAGGAATACTTGTTCGGTTGTGCTGGGAAAATGTCATTATACTGCCCTAATTAATTATTGCATTGCTTTTTTTCTACACATTGTAACATATTAGCAAAGGCTCACCTACATATATTCAAGAGCTATATAATACCTAATAAATAGGTATAATAAATAGGTATTATTAGCTCATGATATATTCATATGAGATTACATTTGCAGTTTTTCACTATATGATACAAAGAGCGTATAAAGAAGGTACGCTTTATACTCTTCTTATACGCTATATATACGCTTCTTTATACGCTCCTGATGATACGGATCATAGACAATATCCTACATTTAAATATATTACACACGGTGCGGTGATTTATAGTATATAATTCTTAAGTTTTTGTTGTTATAAATAATATTAATACTTCCTTACCTAGTATTTGGCATTAAAGCTACGTATCTGTAGTTAATATATGTATATATATATAACTCGACTCCATGAGAGCGAGCAAATACAAAGAGGTAAGCATGGACTAAGCACTGTACAGTAAACATTATATAGTATACATAATTATAGTCCACATGCAGGTCACTGGGCGAAGTCATCAGCATCAAGTGGTAAATTACGAACTTACGGAACGTATTACGGATCTCAAGAAGCTGATGATATAGTCGGTGACTATAATAATATAGAGTTTATTTTGCCAGTACACGTGCGTACGAACGCGCGTACTCACCACGTGTATAAGCTGGGATAGTCGCAGGCCGAGCTTCGCCGTGACCTTGTCGGTCCTGTTCGTCACGGGTCGTATCAGTCGGTTGTATTTACTTAGCAGGTCGTCATACAAACGCTTCGAGTCCGGGTTGCCGTCGCAGGCGGTGTAGTGCAGCAGGACGAGCAGGGACAGCCAGAGGAAAGCTTCACTACAGCGATGCAGCACGGCCCGAGCGTTCACGAGCAACATGGCTGGCCCGTGCGACACTTGGAGCGTAGCGTCGGCATCTGGCGATCGCTTCAAACCAGTAATAAATGAACGTAATGCTTCGTGATACGCGCAGCACGTGGCGGGCGCCGTGGTTGCTACTACCGTATTCCGCCGCAGCGACATCTGCGGTGAAATTAAGCAGACGCAAGGCGCAACGCGTTAGCTGACGTGTGGCAGCGATGATGTTGGCAATCGCTAGTGCTGCACGCGCACGTGCGCGCGCTCGCGTGTAGGTGCGTGCATGGGCGCGCGCTCATATCCTCCTATACAACGCGGGTGTGGGCACCGGGCGCAACAGCGTGCCTACGCATAGGTTAGCGCATATAGGCGCATGAGTGTGCTTGTGCATTTTCACGTACGTTTGCGAACTGAGGGTGTACGTGTGTGCGTGCGTGCATGCGTGTGTGCCGGGATGCGTAGATATGTGTGCTCGGGCATGTGGTTGGGTGTGTGTATCAGAGCGCTGCATGGCGTATATGTGTATATACGTGAGTATGTGTGGGTAGGCGGGTCGTCTATACGCACAAAGGTGTGAGCAGGATGGCTGTAATGGATGGATGGATGGATGGATGGATGGATGGATGGATGGATGGATGGATGGATGGATGGATGGATGGTGGATGGAGAAATGTCGATGAAATAAAAGATTATGTAAATTAAAGCTAGTTTAGACTACTATTTATTGGGCGTGTGGCTACTTATAACAAAACCCGGACTACATGTGACCTGCTGCTAATTTCACGAATTTTAACTAAATTGCGATGATGATCATTAATTAGATTTCATATATTGCTTGGCAACTCGCTGCTAATCGCAATCTTTCTTTATGAGATAATATCAGCATGCGACGCACCCGCGTCCACGTCTCCTCAACGCACGCACGCGCACATGTTCGCGTACGCAACGTTATAGTTCGACAGGAAGCGCACGATAGCGCATCGAAGATGAAATGGCATCCACGATCCACTTTTTTCTTGCCGACACCCGGACTCGTCTGCTAAAGCGTAACACATGCGACAGCGTCGGAATTCGCAGCGAGACGAAGTCACTGCACGCACAGTGGCAGCGGCGCGGGGGCGTGGCAGGTGACACGTGGCATATGTGATATCATGCAGGCTTCCATGCACCAGCCACACGCCATCACAAGCGATGTTGATATCACCCGATGCGACACTGAAAATAACTCTGAACTACTGAAAAAGAATATATGAGAATCCTTACAGTATATATAAATATACCTACTAATACATGTTACTAACCTAAAATATGGTTGGTCGAACTGGAAACAGTATAGCTTTGACAAAGTCGCAAATACTTTTTTATGAGAGGTTCTGTTGAAGGGTTCCAGGGAGGCGCTGAGAAGGATTCCAGGAAAGGTTTTGGTAAAGATTTAGGGCGTATTTCGGAAAGTATTACGGGAAGGAATGTGGGAAGGATTTTTGAGTAGAACTCCTGGAATGATTTCGGGTAGGTAGATTGATAGTGGCACGAGTTACTGTTATAATAAGAGCGGTAATGACCGACAATGAGTTGATTGCAGGAAAACCTGTCCATCAACACTTGTGTGAGTGAACTGTTACTAGTACCAGCCACCTCGACACTACAACACCATAATAATAGAGCAGCACATAATTATGTTAATTATGTTACGTGTTATACGTTATGATATGTTTATGTGTTAAATTGCAAGTTCTCGCAGCAAAATGCATAGATATACCTACTGTGAGCTAGTCCATGTTGTAAAAATCCACTACAACTTATTTGTATTGCTACTTTCACAATATGTCTTCATAAAATCTAATCGAAAAAACTTCTCTAACGAAAGTAGCACCACACGATGTTTCCACAGTGTTTACACATCCGGTACACTGTCGAGCGAACGTTGTGCTACATTAATAGCTCTTTTCTATGATAACACGTGTTATACTTTATTGTTCAATGTTTACTCAGTACAAAATTGGGAAATTTGTTTAAATCATATGTTATCTACATTACTTGTGCAATTAGAAAACGCCGAAAACGCGTCGGACGAAGTTTTGACATGTTCTAGTTCGGAGCACATTTCTGGCTCAATGAGAACATTTCGTGATATTTGAAACTGCAAGTATGCTCACAGTAGGTGTATGTAGGCTTTTTGTTGCGAGGTTTAACCACATTAAAGCTCACGCCTGTCTCGCATTAGGCATGTGCAACACTTCCACTGTGGCGCTAGCCTATAAGGGACGATTATTTGCATACGTTTGCCTATTATGTATAGACAAGCTCGCAACGACAGCCATCTTATGCTTTTGCGTAACACGTTTCAAATTCTGCTTTCCCCCAATCCACTGCTATTAAGATTAATGGAAGTAATCTTTCTATTAACGAAAGAAACTCGAGTTAGAACAACATTTGTATAATAGAATTAATGTTATTTTTATTGTATCAATTAGTAGAATACATTCTTTATAAAGCAATAGGGTCAGCAAATGTACGAAGTAAATCTCGGAACAGATCTTGACAGAGTTTAATGCGGAATAAACTTATTCATATATCCTAGCAGCGAGTTAGCTAATGTATAATAAATGCATTTAATTTAATTTCTAGTTATCTTCATTTCATTCTTTTCACAACAAATGGTTTGAGAATCTAGTATGGCGTTTGTAGTCTGTGGGCTTATGTATAAAAAGCAAAATTTTGGGTAGATTCTTGGCACCCATGTTTAAACAC